GGCGACGGACACGATGCCAACCTTCACCGTAGCAATTCTCCTCTCCTTGTGCGCCTCGCCTTCCGCAGGCGCCTCATCGCCGGCCCGCTTGCCAGCTGAGCTCTCAGGCTCCTCGATTGCTGCGCGCTTCACCTCAGGTGCAGCTGCGCTCTCTGCCGCGGCCCGCTTGCCACGCGGCTCGTTAGGAGGCAACCCCCTCCTCTCAAGACAGAAGTTCGAATGACGGTACGATATGCCCAAGCATCCACTACAGCCTGGGGTAAACTCTCTTGACATCGGGTCTGGAAGCACTCGTGTAGCTGGTCGGCCCCTCGGCCTCTTCGTGACGGGCTGTGGTGCGTCCTCGACGTCGTCCATGGCCTCGTCGCCGTCGGCGGCTGCCTCGGCGCCCCCTGGGTCCCCCTCCTGCGGCTCCTCGGACCTCACCTCCCCCTCCTGGGGGCCTGCCTGCCCCTCCTCGGGCGCGGCGTCCGCTGGTCGCGGAAGCCTGGCGGGCTGCGGGAGGTTGAGGTCGGGGGCTGGTCTGTCTGCCACTGGCGTGGATGCATTCGGCGCCTTCGTGTCGCTCGGGATGCCCTTCATGGCCAGGAGCAGCTGCTTGTCGTAGCGCTCGCTCTCCACGAGCCTCCGTACGGACCTCGCCACGACAATGCCGTGCCTAGTGCCGCAGATGTGGGAGTCGTCCTCCAACGACCGCCCGAGGTAGATGCCGTATCCCCACGCGGATTCGAACTTGGCGGCGATAGGCCCAGGTTGCCTCCACATGACCGTCTCGCCGAGCGGTAGGACCTTCTTGGCATAATGCCTCTCGTGCTGACGCTCGTAGGACGTCTTGTAGTCGGAGCGGTGGATGAGGAAGTGATCGTGGGTCCACGATGCGTGGCGCACGATCCAGGCCATCAGGGGATGTCTCAGCTCGATCACGATACCGTACTTTGCCCCAATGGCTCTCCGCCATGTCCTCGTCATGCCCTCGATGAACGAGTGGAACCTCTCCACCATGCCGTTGCTCCCCTTGCTCGTCTTCGGTGTGTACCTGAAGGTCGCGTTGTTCCCGATGTCCCTCGCGACCTTGGCCGCCACGTCCTTGGCCGCATTCTCGGGGTCGCACTGGATGATAACCTTCTCAAACCCGAGCTTCTCCACGTACCGCTTGAGACACTTCAGGAGAAACAAGTCTCCTCCACCTTTCGCCTCGCACCATACCGAGGCCGTAGAGTGGTATACGTTGTCGATGGCATTCATGACTGGGTGCACTTTCTCGTCACGATGCGTCTTGCCGAACATGTAGTCGATCTGGATCACAGGCACACCCTCTACCTCTTTGATCCTCTCATGCCTGTCGTCCAGGCCTCGCCCCCCTACACAGTCCGCGCACCACGCTGCGTATGGACAGTGGAGGGCCTCGTGAGCCTCCCTCTCGGCTCGTGTCGGCTCCCTAGGGGCCGTCATCACCGTAGCCTCGGGCCTGACTTCTTGCTCCATCGGCTGGTCCACCTGCGCAGCGATGTACTCCTCGGGGACGCCCGTCGCCGTGTTGTAGACGACCAGGCCGTCCGCGCCGATCTTGGTGCCGACGTAGCTCATCACCGTCGCGCGCAGGAAGAACAGGCCGAGCCTCCTTTTCAGCCCAAGCCGTGATCGCCCGCTCCTCGAGTCCCGCGTGATCGAGGGTGGGCCCGTCGAGCCTGACGGTGGGAACTCCACCCCAGCTCCTGCCTTGTTGATGCTGTTGACACTCAGGATCGGTTGCGTCACCTCCGTGACGTGGAATCTCACGCTGATCTCGTCGTCATCCTGCGTCTTCAAGTTCACCTGCTTGTCGCCGTAGTGCTTCAGGGAGGTCCCGTTGGCGACCTTGATCTCCAGCCTCCTGTCCTGCATAGTGGGGTAGTCGGGGAAGTCGCTGGGCCCGCGCGCCGACTTGTTGGCGCCAGTGTCCACCATGATGTCAACCGTCTGGCCAACTCTTGTTCCGCTCGGGCCCTCAAGTGTGCCGACGGCGAAGATCCACGCAGCGTCCTCGCACTCGGAGCACTGGAGGGCGTTGGCACTGATGGAGGCGCTGGCGTCCTCGTGGGAGGAGGCCGCACCCTTCTCCTTCTCGTTGGTGGTGTCCCAGCTCGCCCACTTCTCGTCCCAGGTGTTGCTGTCCCAGCCACTGCCGTCCCAGGTGCTCACGTTGTGGATCTTGGCGTAGCAGTCCTTCTGTTTGTGCCCCCACTTGCCGCATCGTCCGCAGTGTCCCTGGAACTTCTTCTCTCCGCCGGCGATGCCACCGCCGCTGCTCCTGTCCTTGCCCTTACCTCTGGTGTCGTTGCCTTTGCCCTTGCCTTTGCCTTTGGCCTTGCCGTATCCTTTTCCGCCCTTGCTGTTGATGGCGCCGATGTCCATCGGCGCGGGGCCACCAGGCATGGACTGCTTTGTGAGCAGGAAATCGGCGGCCACCTTCTTGATCCTCGCCCACTGGATCTCCTCCTTGGGTGTCCCCAGCAGCACGTGGTTCCTCAAGGCCTCAGGGGCTCGCGCGATCAAGACCGCCGAGCGGATGTTGTCGCTGAGGGCCTCGCTCGCCAGCTTCTCGTACTCTTCTATCGAGATCTCGAACTTCGCCATGTTGTCGAGGAAATCCGCTTCTCCGCCGAAGTCAAACTCCAGCACCCTCATCAGTCTCGATAGAATGCTGCCCATGTTCTGAGGGTCATACTGGGAGCTCAGCCTGCGGTATGCCTCGAATCCGTCTTGGTTGCTGACCTTGCGGATGATGCCGAGCGGGGTGCCCTCCGTGTACATCGTGAGCTGGTAAAACAACGACTGCGCCATCTGTCTCCATTCATCGTCGTAGTTGGCGTAGTTCAGCTGGTTCTGGCTGTACTCGACCTGGGTCATTCCCTCCAAGCACTTCCGACTCTGGTTGCCGATATACGCTTTGAACTTGAACGCCCAATCATGGAAGTCCAGCTTCTTCGTGTTGTCGAAGGTCGGCGGCTTCCCTTTGTCTCCGATAATGGCGTTGGCGAAAGCCTTCGTCGTCTGCTGCCGACTTGCTGCATCTGCGTCGGCTCGCTCCGTCTGGAGCCCCGTGATCGTCTGATTCTGGTTTTCGACCGTCTCCGTCAGTCGGCCGAGCTCTCGCTTCGTCTCGAGTAGCTCTTGTGCGAGGGCCTCTACGCTCATCGCGGCCGTCAGTCGCCTCGCCGGCGGCTGTGCTGATCTCCGTGGATCTGCGGGTCCGTGTCACCCGCGCTCCGCTGCCATCTTGACAGCAATAAACGATGCCGATCCGTTTCACTCTCAAATCCTCAGCGCCAAAACGGCTTCAGTACAGTGCATGGGTGAGAGCGGGAAAGGGATATGTAGGGGAGGCACGGAAGGGCGTCGGGGGCGATACATCTCGACATCTCCTCGCCGTGCTCTCCATGGTAACCTCCCGCGCATGTGTTTGAATCGCTCGGTTCGTTGCCTTTGCCTACCTTGCTTATGTCAATGGCATCGCGGTTTTTAGTGTCAGCGTCCAGTTGTTTCATGCGTGCCCAATCTTCGCGCCTCAAGTGCAGTGTCTGGTGGGTCTCGGAAACAAGAGACTCAGGTGTGTTGAAGCAGTATTGTGGCAACTCGTCGACCAGTCCCCTACGTCGGTCATTCCGTTAGGGGCGTTACCTTCAGGATCCATTGCCGGGCGCATATTGGCTGACAAAGGCACGTGTGTGACAGAACCATGCCGCTTATGTCTTCATATGTGCGAACAAACCTTCACCTCTTCTGACACCGAGCATGTTGCCTTTCGCCTCCAATTCTTGGTGGGTATGTACCACAAGTCAGCATATGACTTGGATGCCTGTTTCTTGACAACAACTGGCGCGAATAACTCTACGGCGGTCATGCGTCCGCGCAGCGCTCTTATTTAGTCTCGTTCCTCACTGGGACAGCTCTCTTCATAGTCGCCAGCTTCGCATACGGCATTTTGCGGGCCTTGCGGTTCCCAATGTTGGCCTGTGCCACCGCGTTGAGCAACCACTTGTTTGATTCGCGGTTTTTCGTTCTGTCGCCGCTGGAGCTCTTCAGTGAGTGGATGGCCTTGGACTTGCCTTCCCGTCTCTGGTAAAACTTGTTTTGCCGGACCCGACCTTGTCAGCCATCTGGGTAAGTCTAGTGCTCGTGCCCATTGTTTGGCGACTCTCCTTCCCAATTCGACGGTCCTCGGCCTTGCCATTGCCGTTTCCGTTTTTTTGTTTTTGACTATTTGTCGGGTTGATTATGTTTAACAACGCTGCGCTGGATTCGCTGAACATTTTCATGTTGGCATCGCATATTTGTCGGGCGATTCCTGGTTGCCTGTGCGCTCTTGCTCGTCCGAGTAGTTCGTCGTTGCATCACGGTTGGTTTGTAGCGAAGTCTTGGCAACTTCTTATTCATATTGTTGGTTGGCCGTCGAACAATTGACCCCGAAATTGGCGATATTGTACTCCGCTCATTCAAAAAACGGGCAAATGATATAATACACAACTGTGTCACATCGCCTGACGGCGGCTGCATTCATTAGAGCCAAGCGCCGGTAGTTGCACAGTAGCCTGCAGGGGTATGATATCGAACCGCCTCCTCCGTCTTCTCCTCCACCTCATCCTCATCTAACTTCGTTCCTTTTTTCCTCCAGGACCTCGGGGACCTCCAAGAGCGGGTGCCAGGCCTCCTCCTCCTGCTCCTCCTCCTCTTCCTCTGCTCCCTCCTCGTCCTCTTCTTGCTGTTCGTCCTCGTCCGCCTCGTCCTCCGTTTCCTGCTCCCTCCCTTCCTTGGGGGCACCTGGCCGGTCCGGAACTTTCCCAGCTTCCGTTTTCCGTTCGGCGCCAATTTCCCGAACGCTCCCAGCAAAACCCCGCATCTCCGCTTGGGCCGACGGGCCCACAATCCAGCCGTGCCCTTCTCAGACGCACGCTCGCTGTTAAGCAGACGCTGCCTCCACGTCCTCGCTGCCTACTCCCGGAGGCGGAGGCAGGAGCGGCCTGGAGTATGGCAGAGCGACTCGTAGGTCTGATGCCCCACGCACACCGTCGGAGACGCCTGGGGCAGCAGAGGGGGCGCGCGGAGGGTTCCACCTCCTTCCTTCCTCGTCGCCCTCCTCCTCCTCCTCCTCCTCCTCCTCCCCTTTCCTTTCCCCTCCACTTGTCCTCCTCCTCCTCCTCTTCCTCGCTCCTCCTCCTCCTCCTCCTCCTCCTCCTCCTCCTCCTCCTCCTCCCCCCTATCCCTCCTCCATGCCCGTCCTACCCCTCCGCCTCCTCCTTCTCCGCCTCCTCCATCCGTTCAGCCCTTCCCCCGGGGTTTCACCAACTGAAAACCAGTCATCTCCTCCTCCTGAGGCTAAGGCTGGGGGCGTCCGACTTCGTTCTGAATGCAGCAATCCCACCCCCACGGGACCAGATCATTTCTCCCAGGGGGTGATGATAATGGAGCCTGTGCATAATATGTAAAGATTTCGCGACGGACGCGAAGGGCAGAGAGGAACCGCCCAGAGGGCGAGGTAGCTATGTCCCCCGGCGCCCCTGGCGGAGGAGAGAAAATGATCGAATCGTATCAACAGAGTGCGCCTCCTCTTCCTCTTCCTCTTGCTCTTCCTCGCCCTCTTAATATTATTCCTCGTCCTTCTCCTCCATTCCTTCTCCTTGTAGATAACTCCTCCCTGTCGCCCCCCGGGGCCAGTGTACAGGGCGGGCTGGGCGTTTCGCTTGCGACTTCCTCGCCACTCATGACTCTGAACGTTCAAAAAATGACAACAGTTTCGCAGATGGAGGGCGGGTGGTTTTCAAAATGTGGCTCTCGTCTTAGCGCCGCGCACATTCGTTTTCAAACTTTGCAAGAGTTTCGCGGATTGAGGGCGGGTCGTTTGCAAAATGTGGCGCTCGCATTAGCGGCGCGCACATTGTAACAAATGCAAAAAGTTCCACGGGTTGAGGGCGGGTGGCTTTCAAAATGTGGCATTCGCCTTAGCGCCGCGCGCACCTGTTTTGCTAACAGCTGCAAGGGGTTTCACGGATTGAGGGCGGGTGGTCTCCAAGCTGTGGCTCTCACTTTATCGGCGCGCACATTCGTTTTAAACACTTGCGAGAGCTTCATGGATTGAAGGCGGGTGGTTTTCAAAAGGTGGCTCTCGCCTTAGCGGCGCGCGCATTCGTTTTAAACATTTGCAAGGGCTTCATGGATTGAAGGCGGGTGGTTTTCACAATGTGGCTCTCGTCTTAGCGCCGAACGCATTCGTAAACATTTGCAAAAAGGTTCCATGGATTGAGGGAACGTGGTTTTCAAAGTGTGGTTCTCGCCTTAGCGCCGCGCACATTCGTTTTAAACATGTGCAAGGGTTTCACGGATTGAGGGCGGGTGGTTTCCAAAATGTGGATATCCCCTTAGTGCCGCGCGCATTCATTGTAAAACCATGCAAAGGCTTCACGAACTCTCAGGATCAACGTACAACAAATTGTGCTTTGTAAGGATTCGATATGATGCGGTTGCAACACCTCTGTTGATTCGCGGTGTTGAAATCCCCAAAAAATGCGTTATGGCACGATTCCAGATCGCCAAAACGCAGCAGTCAGGTTGATGCGTGCTGTTGAATTCCAAAGAACAATGTTTTGGCATGCTTCAGGATATTCACACGGTTGTCTTCCAACGAGGCAGTTCCCTCAATGGAAATGAACCGTTGTAAGAGGTCTATGAAGAGGGAGCTTGGAAGGGGGGGGTGATTCCAACATCGTTGATGACTCTTGGGTTTACACAGGTTCTCTTCGTACTCCTCCTCCTCCTCCCATCCCTGCTCTTCCTCGCGCTCCCACCTCATCCCTCTCCGACTGTCGCTCCCCTCGCCTCCTCCTCTCCGAGTTCCTCTCGCCAACTCCCTTCCTCTCCGCCTGCTCGTGCTCCCCCAATCCTGCTCCCCGCTTTTTTCACTGATCATCCCGCTCCTGCTCTTTCGCCCTCTCGTTGTAGCAGCCATTACCCCTACACTTGGCCGTCCTCCTCATCCTCCTGTTCCTGCGTCTGCTCCTCCTCTCCCCTCCCAAAGCCCTGGGCAAAACAAGGCCAACAAGGATGAGAAAAACGATAAACAGGAGGGGGAGGAGCTGTAGCGAGGCGCCGCCGCCGCCGTCGCCGTCGCCGTCGCCGTCGCCGTCGCCGTCGCCGTCGCCGTCGTCGTCGTCGTCGTCGCCGTCGCCGTCGCCGTCGCCGTCGCCGTCGCCGTCGCCGTCGCCGTCGCCGTCGCCGCCGTCGTCGTCGTCGTCGTCGTCGTCGTCGTCGCTGCGAGGCGCCGCCGTCGTCGCGAGGCGCCGCCGTCGTCGCGAGGTGCCGCCGCACGTCTCGCGCGAGCAGCGGGAGGAGCGCCGCGCCTGGGGCCGCGGCAGCATTTCGCCCGTCTCGGCTGGCGCCTCCGCCTGCCGCTCCACGATGCCGCGCACGACCTCCTCCACGGCCTGCCGCGCGGGGGGTAGAGGCGGCGAGGAGGCGGGGGAGGAGGAGGAGGATGGGGATGATGACCAGGAGGGGGAGGATGGCTCGAGGGCTCGAGGGCGGACGGCGCGTGCCCCGCGGGACACGACCGCGCGGCCCCGCCCGCGCGAGCGACGCGCGGCGGGCCGCCGAGCCCGCGGGCGCCCGCGGGCGGCCGCGACGCGGCCTCAGAGACGCCGCCGCGGGGCCGCGGCGCCAGTTGGCGCGGCGGTGGGGGAGCTCCGCGGAGGCCTCGGCGGCATGCGAGCTCCCGCTGCCCAGTAGACGAGGCCGGCGAAGCTGGGCGTCCCTCCTCCATCTCAAGGCTGGTCGAGGCGTCTGCGACACGCAGGAGGTCCTTGTGCTCCCTCGCCCTCCGTCTCGTCGATGCCACGGCGCCTGAGCCTCCCTGGACCAGGCGCACCTCCAAGCTTCTTCGTGGGCCTGCTGTCGTGGCTGCGGCTCCGTGCACGACGACGGCAGCCCTGTCCTCCTGAACACGATGAGGAGCTGAGTAGCTCTCGTGGCTCCACGCTCCTGCCCACGCGAGTGGCCGCCACCACGGGCGCCGCGGACCCTGGCCCGCTCCCACGACGGGCCCGCTCTGGCGTGCCTCCCGCAGCCCCTCCTGTGCTGGTGGTGACGGCCGCTCTTGTCTCCTCGGCGTCGGCCTTTACCCGTCGCCATGAGAGCCGCGGGCCTTGCCCCGCTCCCACTGCTGTTGGCCCGCGCTGGCGGGCCACCTGCAGCCACTTCTGGGCGGATGGCGACTGGGCAATCTTCGCCGGGGACCGACTCCTCGTCATCATCGCTATTGCCACCGTCATCGCTACTCTCATAATCATCGACAGCACCACATGTACTGCACACTATATATTGTGCAACATTGAATGCACCACATGTGTTGCTCCACATGCAGTGCTAGACATACGCTGGTTGGGGGGCCGTCTACAGGAAGGGGGGGCCACCCAAAAACGCTAACAGCCAGGCCGGGGGGCACAACTAAACTGTAATATTCAAAATTACGTTTTTGTCCGAAGGCATGGTTTGGAAAATCCAGAATTATGGTTTGTTGTTGTTTTTGCCCTGAAGGGCTGTGTGTGCTTGAATTCAGAACTCGCGATTTTATTGTGGGAAGGCTTCGCCTCTTTCGCCCTTCTGGAAGTGTTGTTGCACGATGAACGCCACGTGCGAAACATGTTTGTGGGGCTTTCCGTGTGTAGTTTCATTGGCGGTTGGATGCGTAGTTGGTTTCGTTACTGTTCGTATCCATCACGGTCCACCCAGCAATAGTACCCAGGCGAATGGTCGCTGTAGGAGAACCCCTCACTAAGACATACGCTGGTTGGGGTCTACGATGACGAACCTTCATTATTTATCCGCAGACGCGTTCCATAGCGGACATGGAACTTCAGAACTGACCCCTTATCATGCCATGCGCAATCGGACACGTGAAGCTGCATACATAAGAGGAGGAAGAGGAGGGAGGAGGGATGAGGTGGAGGATGGGCAGGATAATGAACAGGAGGAGCAGGAGGCTGAGGAGGAAGGATGAGGAAGGGGAAGAAGGAGGACGATGACGAACAGCAGCATGCACTGGGGTGGAAGGAGGGAAAGGAGCAGGAGGATCAGGGGAATGGCGGAGGGGAAATGAGGGGTCGACAACAGTGAGGAGGGAATCGGATTCCAAAACATGTCCCACGCTGGGGCGAGAACACCATTCTGAACGACGGTGGCAAAACCGCGATTCCTAAAATGAGGCCCACGCCGCAACGGGAACACGTTCAGGACTGACCCAATTTGAAGCGCACAGTCGGACACAAAAACAACAACTGGGACACACCCTGTGTCTAAGAAACCAATACGCGGAGGGGGGCGCGCTGCTCTCAGCACGTCTTCGGATGAGGACAATAGAGAGGAGAGCAACATTCACATCGAGACATTGTGTAAGAAGGAGGAGGAGGAAGAGGAGGATGGTGGTGGTGGTGGTGGTGGTGGTGGGGCGGCGGAGGCGGAGGCGGAGGCGGAGGCGGAGGAGGAGGAGGAGGAGGAGGACGAGGGAGGAGGAGGAGGGGAGGGGGAGGCCAGGAGAAGAGGAGGAGGGAGGAGGAGGAGGAGGAGGAGGAGGAGGAAAAGGAGGAGGATAAGGCGGGCGGGAGAGGAAGACGAGAGGAAGAAGGGGGAGGGAGAGCACGGGACACTCCCTCCCTCCTCTGCGCCTTTGGGGGGAGCCGCCCGCCGAGCAGCGCGGGTGGATGGGCCGAGGGCGGGCGCGCGGGGGCGGAGCCTCGTCGCCCCACATCTCGCCCCAGTGGCGCCGCAGCCGCGTGAGGAGCGCCTGAACGAGGGGGCGGCGCGCGACGGAGGCCCGGGCTCGGCGAGAGAGGAGGAGGAGGAGGAGGAGGAGGAGGAGGAGGAGGAGGAGGAGGAGGACCAAAAGGGAGAGGAGGAGTAAGAAGGGCGAAGAGGAGCATGAGAAGGAGGAGGAAGAGCGAAGATGGGAGGGGAGGGGGAGGAGGAGGAGGAGGAGGAGGAGGAGGAGGAGAGGAGGAGGAGGAGGAGGAGGAGGGAGAGGAGGAGGAGGAGGAGGAGGAGGAGGAGGAGGAGAGGAGGGGGAGGAAGAGCGAAGATAAGGAGAGGAGGGGGATGAGGAGGAGTAGGAGGAGGAGGAGGAGGAGGAGGAGGAGGACTAAGAGCAGGATAAGGAGGAGGAGGAGGAGGAGGAGGAGGCGAAGGAGGAGAGGAGGACGAGGAGCATGACAAAGGCCGACCCCCTCCTCTTTCTCCCATCTCCCATCTCCCTGCTTCCCTCCCTCCGCCCCCTCCTCCTCCCATCTCCCTCCCTCCCTCTCCTTCCTCCCCGGTGAGAGGGGGGGGCGCTCGGCCACGCGGGCCGCCCGCACGACTGGGAGGTGCAGGGAGGAGCAGCGGCAACTCATGTCCAAGGCTTCGAGGCAATCTGGGACTACAAAAAGACCGGCACCGGGGCCCTGAGCACCACAGCTGCGTGCGAGGACACATGGTGAGTCAGCGTCGACCTGCGAGTGCGCGGCACGGCACGCGAAACTGGCACGGCACGCGGGCGGCACATGCTTCGCATTCTGCATTCTGGCACGCGGGCACGACGCGGCACGACCCTCCCTGGTCTCCTTGATCCTTGGTCCTCCTCGGCCCTCCTCGATCGTCAGGCCTCCTCGGCCTGCCTGATCCTCGACCCTCCTCGATCGTCAGACCTCCTCGGCTCGCTTGATCCTCGACCCTTCTCGATCGTCGGACCTCCTTGGCCTTCTCGACTCGAGTGCGCTGCAGACGGGGGCCAGGAAGAGGGGGGCCAGCGCACCGTGGCCCGAGGCATGTTCGCCAGTGGAAGCACTGAGCGAAGAAGAGGATGGCATGGATTCTGGGAAACTTCATTGCACAGCCATGGAAGTCTGATTTAATAGATTGGGTTCAGGTCCTCGCAGAGAATAGTTAGCAAAACACAACACAAGCAGATCGATGCTTGAAGTCGGAGGGGGCATAAAATAGATTAGGATCTGGAAATCTAAGAATACCTGCCTTCAACGACCGGCGTGTATCTATCCCCCTCCTCCTTGAGCCTGGGCCATGCCTGGAGCCTGCCTTAAGCCTGTGGCGGCAGTTCGGGACCATTCGGGCACCCCTGCAAAATTCTCGGCAAAGCGCACCCGCTTGCAAGCATCCCAGAGCGAGAACGCATCCAAGATCCGACGAAAACTATCGAACACATCCCGATCGATACCCCCCCTGATGGGCAACAGTAGAGAGGGGACCGGCTCAGGGGAAGCATCGAATTGGAACCGGCGATGCACCGCCGGCAGATCGGCGATAGGCACCCGATAGCGAATCCGCACTGTATCGGCCCCTTATTGGCAGTCAAATGGGCGATTGGGGTTGGATGCGTCACCCCCTGAGCCTATCCCGACCAGTGATCCTCGTCGTCTTGTTTTCCGGCGGCCGTTCGGGACCATCTGTGACCCCAGGAACGCTCTGATGAGGCTCAGCCGCTGGAAGGCATCCCGAGGCTGGACCGCCCTCGAGAACCGACGACCTTTCCGAACACCTCGAACCTCGAAATTTCGTCCCCCCTAACGTCGTCGCCCTCGTCCTCGTCCTCGTCCTCGTCCCCCTCCTCCTCCTGCTCCTCCTCCTCCACCTCCTCTTTCCTTTTATCCCCCGAGGGGCGGAGCGCGACAACGTCGTAGTCGTCGTCGCCGCCGTCGTCGTCGCCACCGCCGCCGCCGCCGCCGCCGCCGTCGCCGTCGCCGTCGCCGTCGCCGTCGCCGTCGCCGTCGCCGTCGCCGTCGCCGTCGCCGTCGCCGTCGCCGTCGCCGTCGTCGTCGTCGTCGTCGTCGTCGTCGTCGTCCTCCTCCTCCTCCACCCCAACGTTGCCCCTGACCCCCAACCAATTCCCAGACCTCCTCATTGCGGAAAGACCAGCGGCGGCGCCTGCCACTGGCCGCTGCTGCCGAGGAGCACGCGGGCGCGCCGCGGCGACAAGCTGTCGCAGCCCTGTGGGGTTGCTGTCGACGCCGTCGTCGTCGTCGTCGCTGTCGTCGTCGGTGTCGAGGTCATCGAGGTCGTCGTCATCAGACGAGGACGGAGGAGGAGTGAAGAGGAGGGAGGAATAGAGGGGGAGGAGGAGGGAGGGAGAGAAGCAGGGAGGAGAAGGAGGAGGAGGAGGAGGAGGAGGAGGAGGAGGCAGAGGGGGCGCTGCAACACCGCCTGTCGCATCCCGTTTAGTCGCGAACCCACCTACCTACCTACCCCTGCGCCCTCCCGGCTCCACCTCCTGTTCAGCTTTGAGGCCTCCTATCTGTTACCTCGTTTCTTACATCTTGCTTCTCGCGATTGTTCACATCCAGGCGGTCTAAATGCGCTTACCTACTTTCCGGTCTTCCCCTCCTGGCCGGTTCCCCCCTCTGTCTTTCGGGGTCCCTGGTCGCGAGCCAGCTTGGCCTTCCCCCACAGCGCTAACTAGACCGCCGCGCCGTGCTGTCCAGGCGCCCTCTACTTCTCCCCTCCACGTTAGTGAGGCTTCTGGCCACCTTTTCCCTGCTCGCATTTTTCCTAATGAACCCCTCCCCCCCGCCCAGCCGCGGCGAGGGGGAGCAGGAGAGGTGGCTGCAGGGAGACCCACGACCGCCATCAGCATCAGCAGGCAGGGGGGACAACGACGCATGAGCGCCTAAAGAGGTGGTCAAGTGACTCAGACCCCCCCGGGCCACACAACCGTCTCCTCCGCCTTCCGACTCTCTGCCTGCTCTCTCCTCCGCCCCTCCCTCCTCCTCCCCACGCCGGATTTCAAAAGTGGCTTCCTCTGTTTGGTGTTCAATCCTGCTTTTTTAGATCCGCACGGTCTCGGTGTCTCAACATGCGGATGCCGCTGCAGCGCTGGCCCCACTTAAGGATCCGCGCGTTGCTCCCGTCGTTTCGAATGGCGCTATCGCTCCAGCGCGGGCCAAGTATTTCCTCGTCGTTGTCGTCCCCTTCCTGTCCCCTCCTCCGCCTTCCCCTGGTCCTCCTGTTCCTTCCGCTCCTTCTGCTCCAACTCTTGCTGTTGCTGTTCGTTCCCGTCCTCCTTCTTCCTCGTCCTCCTCTTACTCCCGCTCATCCTCCTGCTCATCCGCCACCTCCTCCTCCAGTGTACGCAGCTCCCCGTGTCCGATGGCGCGCAACACGTGGATGTTCCTTTCTGGAGTTCCAGGTACGCCGTAACAAGTGTCGGCGGGTAGAGCAGGAACCCGCGCAAGGAGAAGGGATGGATGGGGAGGGGCGGGATGTCAGATGTGGCGCGAACGCACCTGGCTTGTCCTCTCCCTCTCTCGTCTCCCCTGCCAACCCACCCGTGTGGCAATACGCCGTGCTTCGGTCTGACATCTTCACGTACTCGCCTCTTTCAACCTTCGCTCTCTTGCGTAGTAGGTAATGGTGTTGATATTCGATGGTGCGTTGTTTCTTCGCATCTCCCGTCTGTGCGTCGTACTAGAGAGGAGGATCCTCCAGACACCCAAGAAAGTTCGATCCCGTGTGGAACCTTCGAACACCTTCCTCTGCCTTCTTCCTCCTCCCTCCTGCCTCATTCCTCCCTTCTCCCAATCTCCCTATCTCCTCTCCGAGATGTTCTGGATGTCCATAGAAGCCTCTGGAGGCGTCAAATGCGTACAGAAGCGCTCAACAACCTCGATGCGCGAGGATGGAAAAAAGGAGGAGAGAGAATGAGGATGGAGGAGGAACAGGAGCGCCCTCTATGCCCATCATCGTTGTAATGGAATACAAGTGTGGCACTACTTCTTGAGGGAGACTCAGGCGGAAATCCCAGTTTGAAAAGGGGACGTGCTTCATCCTTGTACATGTACGTATGTTGCACGCCTGTAGACTTTTGGAAATCCATGTTCGAAGAATTCTCAAGCGCGAGCCCGATGCCGATACGGAACCGCCCTGTATCCTTGTAGCGGTTCGCAAAATTCCAAACGAATGTGAACGGCGTTCAAGCGGAAAGCGCGTTCTGAAACGACACAACCGCCATTATTGTAACTCTTGCTTTTATGTAGTCAATACATCCGCCCTCCATCATTATCATTGTTGGAAGCTTGCGAAACGAATGTGCGCGGCGTTGAAGCAATCACCAAATTGTGAAAACCACCACAGATTGTCCATCCGCGTTACAATCGGCAGTTCTAAGTTTCAGGACCATAATCGGTGAGGGGGTGTCAGGCGAAACGTCGTGGTCGTCCTACTGTCACGTCTGCTGGTGCGACGAGGAGGAGTTATTTAGGAGGAAACGACAGGCGAGGGAGTGAGGATGGGGGAGTAAGGTAGGGTAGAAGAGTGAAACTATTCGCCGGCCCAACGGGCCAAGGGCGTGCTAAAATCTCCAACACCTGGTTAACAATATTTCTAATTCGCGCGCGCGGGGCCGCCTCTGGGGGTCCCCGGGCGAAACATAGTCCGGCAAGGTCTGGGCAAGGTCCTGGGCAAACCCTGGGCAAGTCCCGGCAAGGTCCCAGGCAGGTCCCAGCCAGGTCCAAGCAGGCTCCCAAGAGCGCTCCAAGTGGCCTCCAAGAGAGCCCAACATGGTCCGAGACGGTCCAAGAGCGATCCAAGACGCCAAGGATGGCCTCCAGACAACCCAAAACGCATCCAAAACGGCCCAAGAGGCCTCCAAGCGACCTCCCAGGAAAGCCCACAGAGGCAGAAAGTAGCAATTGTCCTTTATGCTTTCAACGATTTCGGCGTTCTCGCCTTTCCGGCTTACCGGCGCTCCAAGACGGCCCAAGAGGCTTCCAGGATCGCCCCAACGCGCCCCAGGATGCCTCCTAGATCGCCCAAAACTGCCCCAGAGGGCCCCAAGTTCGCCCAAGAGGGCCCCAGCCCAAAACGGCTCCAGAGGCGCCCAAGATCGCCCAACGAGAACCAAAGAGGCTCAAAAAGAAGCCCCAAGAAACCCCCTAAATGGCCCCAAAGAGGTCCCAAGAGGCCACGAACGCGCAGGCAAACGCCTGCGATGGCACAATACGGGCCGGCGGAATGAGTGAAGCGATTAATCAATACAAACTCGGGGAGGTCCGCGCGGATTTCTGACTGGCGTTGAGCCTCCCTCTCTGGCGCGCGGCAGAGGCGGCGCCAGAGGCAGCGCCAGGGGGGGGGGACAACGCCGACCTAAGAAATCCGCTTGGACTTCCGACAGCATATGCTGATTCAGTTGTTTATTGCCTTCGCGAGGTGGATGAGCAGAATGAGATAGGCGGCAGAGGATGTGCATGAGGATTATGATGGTCAGGACGGGAATGATGATGATAATAATGATGATGATGATGATGATGATGGTGATGATGATGAAGATGATGATGATGATGATGATGATGAAGAAGATGATGGTTGGCGAAGAAGGGGAGAATCTGTTCCAGCATGCGTAAGAGGAGGAGGACGAGGAGGAGGAGGAAGAGGAGCAGGGGGATGAAAGACTCGGCCTTGAACGGGTGGTCTGCGGCAACCGTGCTCTGAGCCCGCGGCGAGCCTACGTGCGGGCGAGAGCACGTCCCCACCAGCCACCGCCTTCGCGCAACGAGATTCACACGCACCGCGGAGGAAAGAAGAAGGAGGCGTGAGGAGGAGGAGGAGGAGGAGGAGGAGGAGGAGGAGGAGGAGGAGGAAGAGGGGGAGGAGTAACAGTAATAGTAAGACATCCCGGGACGATGTTCAATGGGGAAAGGGGGGAAGCGGGTGGAGGAGGAGGAGGCTTGAGGAGGAGAGAGGAGGGAGGAGCCAGAACGTGCGCGAAGGAGATGCAGGGAGGGAAAGGATGGGGAAGAGGAGAAGAGGCAGAAGTCGGATGGAGGAGGCAGCGGCGCGGAGAACAACCTCGGTGGCGACGAGCCAGTCGACAACGCGCACGGCGAGCTGGGAGTCTTCGTAGGCGATCGAGTACTCCCTGTCCCTCCCTCCTCCTCCCTTCTTCTCTTCGCCACTTCCCCCTCCTCCTCCTCCTCCGCCTCCTCCTCCTCCTTCTCCTCCTCCTCCTCTCTTCTCTTGTTTTGT